ATAAAGGTAGTCATTTCCTTGTGTCTGTTTAGCATGAGGGAAGTTAAATGCCCAAACAAAAGGCTTGATCTTGTACTGAAGGATTCATGCCCAAACGAAACAAGCATGCAGGCAACAAACTTGCCCAATCGAAGCAAGCATGCAGACAACATACTTGTCCAATAGAAGCAAGCATGCAGATAGTATATGCCCAATCAAAGCAGGCTTACAGGCAGCATGTGCCCAATCGAAGCAGGCTTGCAGACAGCTAATTTTGAGCAATCGAAGGAGGTGCAAAGTCCAATCGAAGGGTGCTGAATCAAAGGAGGTGCAAAGTCCAATCGAAGGGGATGAATCGAAGGAGGCCTATTTTTCTCCAAATCTGTCAAAATGTTATTTATATCTGTTTTCTCCCTTTTTTACAGTTTCCTTTTAATTTTGGTACTGGAAAATCCCAACGCACTTGTGCAAGCTTAAATCCTGAGAATCTTTGTGAGAAAACCCTTGAGAATTGAGAGGGTAAATTTTGAGGTACAACATTGATGTTAAGTAAATGAAAAGCATCTTGGGACATGAACGGTTGAGATCAGTATAGTCAACACACATACGTCATTTTCCATTATTTTTCTTAACAAGTATAATGTTTGAGATCCAGGTTGAATACCGGACCTCAAAAATAAAATTTTCCTTTAGGAAGTCTTTTACAACTTTTTCAACAGCCTCCGCTTTTTCGAGAGACTGTCTACGCCTACGTTGTACTACTGCCCTAGTGGCTGGATCCACGGCAAGTCGATGACAGGCGACTTCAGGGTCGAGTCTGGGAATCTTCATAGCACTCCAGGCGAGCAGGTTAGCGTTCTCACTCAAACAGGCTTTGAGTTGCTTCCTCGTTGGGTCGGGGAGTCCACCACCGATCTTCACGCCTTTGCTTGGGTCTTCGCCAAGGGGGATGAACTCGAAGTCTTTGTCTAGGACGGGTTGGAGAGGATCTTGCTCGCTATTGGGGGCCTCGACTTCATCTTTGTCAAAGAGGGTGTCGAGGTCAATGGAGTCGATCTTTGATGGAGCATGTGGTTCTTCAACTCGAGCAGGTTTATCAGCCGAGGTAGCCGTTGTTGTCGAGGTGGTTGCTCTTTTAGTAGGTCATGCCCCAGTGTCGACCATGTTTTTCCCTTTGGAAGTCGCGTTGAAACATCTTCTGGAAGTTGAGATGTCTCCATGGATGGTGGCGATGCAGACCCTCTTGGTGTAGAACTTCATCGTTAGATGCACCATGGAGGGTACGACGGTTAACTCGACCAATGTTGCTCTTCCCAGAATACAGTTGTAGAGAGACAGGTAATCGATCACTAGAAACTGCACTTTGACTTGTCGGGATGCAGTTTCTTCTTCGAATATGACAAAGAACTCAACGTAGCCCCATGGCTTGGAGGTTGAACCGTTAAATCCTTACAGGTCGGACCCCACTTATGGTGACAGGTGGATATCATCGAGCTGCAGGGTGCGGAATAGATGGGTGTACATGATGTCGACGAAACCTCCCTCGTCGACCAGGATGCGATGTACATCAAAGTTGGCCATCTTCGCCCTCACCAACAGAGGAATACTGGAGTTGGGGGCTCTGTTGGGCATCTCCTCAAGATAGAAGGTGATCGACTCAGATTTTCTCTTGAATCTTTCAAGGGTTACCGCCTGGATCAGGGTTGTATCCGCTAGCTCGTTGAGTTTTTGCTTCACCGAATTCACCGAAATGTTCGTGAATCCCCTGCCAGATATGACAATGGCAGAAAACTTCTCCCATATGTTGTGGGTGAACAAAGGCTATCATCTCCAAGATTGTCAGGGATGTGAAAGTCTTCGGGCCTTGAGATGCAGAAGGCTACCTGGAGGGGACCAGATTCATCGGATGATCGAGTATCCTCCTCAATTTCTTTAACCTCGCGGGTATCCCGATGAGGGACGTCGTTTCGCTTGTACTGTCCGAGTCTCCCTGCCTTGATGAGAGTCTTGATGGTATCCTTCAGGTGGACGCAATCTTTGGTCAGGTGACTGTGGCTCTAATGATATTGACAATATTTTATTTTGTCGGTCCCGGGATTTGTAGTGGCAGGTCGAGGATGTTTGACCCCGCTGTCCTTGAACTCTGCGTTGGAGCACTCTGCAAAGATACGCTCGCGGGAAGCGGTCAACAGAGTGTACTCGATGAACCGCCTGGCTGGTCCTCTCTTGCGGGGGTCACGAGTTTTCTCCTCCCTTCTCTTTTCCCATGTTCGTCGAGAAGAGCCTGCGTCACTGTGCCTTGGGACGTTAGCTGGTATGCGGTTCCTCGATTGCGGGCGTTGTTGGCGGCCTCTTTTTCCTCGTAGTCCATGTAAGCCTGGGATTTTTCGAGGAGTGCATTGAAAGACCTGGGGGGCTAAATGCCAACGACCTTTCTAAATTCAATACCCGAGAGAAGTCTCCTCTCGAGCAACTATCTCTTTATGTGATCGACGCAGGAGATCTAAATGGCCTCGCAATTGAACCGATCAACGTATTCTCTGAGGGTCTCATTGCTCCTCTGGACGATTGCCTCGAGGGCGGTCTCAGTCTTCGAATGCCGACGAGATGCAGTGAAGCTGATGATGAATTGGTTTTTGAGACTCCTCCAGGAGATGATCGACCCGGGGGAGAGGTTCTTATATCAATCCATGGTTGTTTTCCTCAGCGTCGTGAGAAACAATCTGCATTTAATTGAGCCTGCAGCGTTGTGGTAGTGGAGCATCACCCTGAACCCGTCGATGTGGTCGACAGGATCAGCAATGTCTTCGTACTCCTTCAACAGGGGAGGCTTCTCCATCCCCTTAGGAATGGGGGCCTTCATGATGGGTTGGGATAATGGATCGCGGAGGTCATCTTCGTCGCTTTTTTTTTGGGAGCGAGAGGGGGACCAGTTGTAGTGACGGTCTTTGTGTCGGACTTGACCATGAGGAGGGTCCCTTGGCCGAGACTGCTTTTCTTCATTGCCCCTGTTCCTTTTACGTTCAGGGGATCGTCGTTGTTTGTGCGAGAACGTGTGACCGCGTTTCTTGACAGTCTCGGGCTGGGTCCTCTCCAAAGCGGAACCTCGCCCAGTGCCGCAAAGAGTAGGGCTCTAAGACTCATCTCGTTTGTGTCTCTGCGGGAAGAACGGGAACGATCTTGTCAGGGAGGAAGAGTTCGTAAATTTGATCTTCTGTGCTTTCTGGGGGTCCGACGAGTCTTCTCCAGCATCATCGGTCGCTCACCCTGTGAGAAGATCGTCTAATTGGTCTGATTGATTGCTGCGAACGGAGCTTTGGTCGTGGCGTCAACACCTTCAGGAACAGAGATCTCCTGATATGCATTGGACTCATAATTCTGCGGAGGATGGTAGTCGTTGTCGCGTGGTTGCGAGCGGGTGAATGAAGAGGCGGTCAGTCCGTCCCTGTGGTCTTTCCCGAAAGCGGCCACATTGTTGTTGTTGTTCGCGTTGTTGTTACCAGCGTTGTTGTTGTCGACGTCGGCGAAATAGACGTTTTGGTTATCATTGACAATTGGGTCGGCCATGACAACCTGAAGGTTGAAGATGTTGCTTTGGTCTTACGTGAATGAAAGACGGGGACGCTGGATTCCCACGGTCGACGCCACTGATTCTACCTGATCAGAAGAGATTGTCAAGGCCTACGAGCTTCAAGTCGAGCAGTGGTTGAATGTGAAATGGGAGGGTACCTGCAAGACACTCTGATGCCGAAGTAAGGTTCAAAATAAATACAAGTAGAATATGAGAGTATGGATGAATGAATCAATACCTGATCCTCTCAAGTGAGAGGATATTTATAGCCTCCAGCGCTGGGCCAAGATCCCCATATTGGGCTGACAGAACATACCCAAAATGAAGACTATCAAGATCTACGTGAGTAGTAGAGACCAACATGTGGTCTTCCTCCTGAGTGGACTGCTCCGAGTTACTAGGAGAACGTAATTACGGTATTTTTGAAGTCAAGTTGACTCCGAAATACTCGGAGACATGGGCGTCTGCCATGTACGAGGAAGGTGTCCATCAAGGCCTCCTGGAAGCCGTTAACACTCCTCGACAACCCTATGGAGAGGAAGGCCCAGGGAGCCTGTCTTCAGTGCAAGGGTGGAGTCGCTGCCCGACATAGTCAAGGACAACCTCATTCTTGATGGCCTTCACCTGAAACATAGTTAGATTGGACCTCGTATGCTGTTTGAGCCAAGCACAAGCCCAATCCAGAACATAAACCAACAATATGTCATGTACTCATGTTATTTAAAAATAAAGGTGATGTGTCCTTTTACATGATCATAAATAGTTGACAGTGTAAAATTAATTTACACTCTCAGTGCATCTCATTAATGTAATAATGTGACATTTGATAGATTTATTTATTTTTATACACTATAAATATCTTTAAAACTATAGTAATGGAGAGAGAAAATGAAGAGGATCCTAGCTCTGTTTCCCGAGGCCTACGAGCTTGAAATGCTGATCTATGATCCTCGGCGAGAAATGGGAGTTACAATGTGTACAATTATCAAAATACTTCATTTTAAGCTATAGTTACAGTTATTTTATGCCTTTCTGCAGGTAGCATCTGCATTATGATTTCTAAATAACACCGAGTTAGGTAGCAAAACAAAAACGAAAACAAAGAATCAGTTGCTTTAAGAACAAATCATTAAGAATAATCACAGTGCAAATAATAATTTATAGATAAATATTATTCAAACATTAGGTTACAATTGTTTATTCAAATATTATATGCTGCAACTATATACCACAGTGTATTTGCTTCTCTCTCCCTCTCTCCAAGTAGCTTGAATCAGCATGCTGTAAGAAAACAAGAAATTGGAAGATTTTATATAGTGATTAATGATTATCAACAATTCTATTACATCGATTACAGAGGTAATAGAACAAAATACCATTCATGAGATCTGTCTCAATGTAAGCATGTCTGCTTTAGACAGAGGAAGAGAGAGATTGTAATTTTCAGCTATCATTGTTTTTTTGCATACTCCCTTGGTCCAAATATTGTTGATCCAACTCTCACATTAGTACTGCCTGATTCGATCTGAAAAGGCAGGATTGTTAATTAACTAGTTTCACATTTACTTACGAGTAATTAACACCATATCAATCAAAGTAAACTTCAAGTAAAAGAATATAGATCAAATAGTTAGGTGATTTCCTGTCATGAATCATATCTAAAAGTTTCCTTGGTTGTAATATATTTTTGCCTACAGTTTTTACAAAACCGGCTTATAAAGTGAAATGTGTCCCTCATAATAATTTCCGACTTATAAGGTAACAAATATCACTCGTAACATTTCAGAATACACTCATCACACCTAGTACTATTGAGCTCAATGTGTAGATAGTATGGTGGGTGACCCGAATTGATAAACTCTGATATCATATTAAGTTTTTATATTGGACCTAATTCTTCCTTATAAAACCGATTTATAATGTGAGAGGTGTCACTTTTTATAAATTATTTTCAAATCTTGTTTGATTTTAAAGTGAGATTTGGTTTATCTTAATAGTCTTCTCCGATTTATGTAACTATCAAGATAATTAGGTTTCTGCTGAATAATTTTAGCACACTATTCCATACCGCTAACTCAAAATCACCCGACATGCCCATGGACAGTTCGCATTGCTCCTCATCCATTTCAAGTGCCTTGCAAACTTCAGTCCTGCAATTTGATAGAGTCTGCATTTTTTGCAAACGAGAAAACCTTAGCAAATAGATATTAGAATTTAGCACCGAGGCGCATAAAGCTGTCGGATTAAATTCAAAATAAAACAATATGAGCACAAGAAATGAAGTAGTTCTGAAAGGGAAAATTCTAACACACAAGAAACAGGACATTTCAAATAGTTCTCCATATACTATAGAATATAACGATCACCTGAAAGTTCTGCGGAGTTGAGGTATAATCTAGCATTCCTATTGTCATTAAGCCAGAGAATTCCAAGTTTGGGCAGCTCAATTTCACATGTTTTGCAAGATCAACACAATTAGAAGGATCAACACCAGACTTGGCTGCAATAATATACAAAACAATTAACAAGTTTATCTATTTGGATATGTAAGGAATGAAAGCATTGCATTGTGCCTAGAGGATGTAGGAAAACCTCTTAACCAAAGAATACAACAAGGGCTTGGAGTAACTCAATGTTTTAAGCTGAACTTACATTCTTCTCCACTGGTATTTACTTGCACCAAAACTCTCAGAGGATTTCTTCCCAGGGTTGAAACCATACGGTCGAGATTATTTGCCACCTGCAAGTTACAAAGGTACAAGAACAATTTGAACGTTTGTTGAATGATATGGCGGCAAGTGGAATTAGTAAGAAAGTTAGCTTTATCAAAATCACTGTTTGAATTCCAACTATTTATCAAAAAGGATTAGGCCTTATCAAAAGCAAATCCTAAATCCTAAATTATCTAGATTTCTTCAAATTAAAACAGAAAATACAAAAGAAAACAATAAAACTATATCTCGGAGAACTACTAGTAATACTGGTTGTAATTTATAAATCACTACCTTCTGATTGTCCACGCCCTCGACCATGGCCAAATTTGGAACTCCACCTGCATAATAGAGCATGTACAGCTAACCCGTTAACCTAATCAAAGGGTGCTAAAGAAAGGAACAACCAAAAAACCTTATTACAAGTAGCATACTCAAGAGTGCTTTGACTTTATTGCTTTGCAAATGGCCAATGAAGTGCCACTGAATGTCTTGTGGAAGCTGCAGACAAACCCCAAAATATTAAATGAAAATCAAAAAGACCATAAAAACAACTGGAATGAAGAAAAATGCAGAACCTGAGGAGCTTTCTCGATGAATTCTTGGACGTAGTTTTCGCCGAAGCAACGGTGACCTGCGTCGTAGAGTTGGCGAATCATGGAAATGGGTTTAGTTTTGGATACTGCGACGACTCGGACTCGATCGGGTTTGGTTCCGGATCTTTCCGCTGCTTGTTGGACCCGGAGCATAACCGACCGCAAAGCGGCGACGGTGACGGCTTCCGCGACTACCGGAGAAGTCATTGGATTGGGAATAAGGGGACCGAGTGAAGACGAGTGGTGTTCGTCTGACGGTGGGTTTTTGTGTTGAGGTGGTTAAACAACCAACGCAAAACAAAAAGTGATGAAGAAAAATTAAAATAAATAAATATCATAGAGTTAATGATAATTGATGAAATTACACATCAAAATTTGTTTGCAATTTAGATGATAAATACAATTTAAAAATGGGTATTACCTTAACAAAAAAATTTATTTTTTGAAATACATTTGATAGTTAATATATTAAAATAATATATAAATTGAATATATAATTTATTTAATAAATTTAATAAATTTAAAAATAAATTATTTTTATAAATAAAATCAGAAAGAGTATATGTTAAATAATAACTCTGTTGGAGTTATATAGAAATTCAAATATAAGAAGGTGAATTCAAACTCACACATTTCTTATTTATTCATCTTTTTAGATGTTTTTATTTTTGAAAAAATAAATATATATTAATCAAAAATACAACTCTTAAGTATTAATGTGTACTAAAAGAATTGCCTAAAACAAAAGTACAACAACAACGGGACAAAAAGCAATCAAATTTTTCCAATAAAACTATCCATCAGTGTTAAAAAATACACTATAACGGATTAACCCGCCAACAATGATAATTAATACTAAAAGATGACACGTGATCCCCCATCCATCAAAAAGAGTGGAATTTAACCTTCTCACAAATTGTCATGAAAACAAGACTCTTATTCTGAAAATTTTGAATATTTCGAGTTTTCCAAATTAACCAAACAGCAGTTACCCAAATAATATACAAAACACAATTTCACTGCTTTGACCAACTGGCCAAAGACACAAAATGATCATGATGATCCCTATAATTTCCATAAACAGACTCAATCCTTAACCAACCAGACAACAACAACCAGAATTTACCATAAAAATCACATCAAACAAACATGTGATGAATCGTCTCATTTTGACCACACAAGGATGTGCACTCCTGCGCATATGCACTGATAATACGTCTCTGAACCAAATTATCTTTCGTCGGAAGTCTATTCTACAACAACCGTCAAACAAATAGATTAACCTTCAGCGGCACCGCTTTTGCACACCTGTTGACAAGCAATTTTCAACTAGAGAAGCAAGCCTTTAAACTATAAGGTATCTTTGATTAGAAAGACATGTCTCCACCATAAAGAAAATGGGACGCGTCGATAATTTAGAGGAGTCCAGGAATTTTGGTTGACAAAGAGACCAGTTCTGGAGGCAGTCTCGACAGGAGGTGAAGTGTCGACAGGCAATAACAAGTGGCAATAAGAGTAGTTACCAACTCACAAAGCCAGTAAGAACGTGGGGATCTTTTTAAAGCAGTTTATAGTAGTTCTCCATGAATCCTAATGTGGGACTAGTAACCGTCGACGGTTACACTTTTAGATTTTCTATTTAAGCAAGTGTTTGTATTTGTGTCAAGGGTCGTATTTCTTCACATTTAGAGCATTACACTCAAAGTACCCGCATCTAAGAGATAAATTAGTTCAGGCTTAACAATGTATGAATGCTTTCATATTTAAATTCATAAAAATTTCTAGTTTTTCACTTTAAATTACAAGTCTTGTCATTTACTTTCTTTACTTTGCAATTGTCTTCTACTTTTGTCCCTTTTATCCAATATCAACCAGTTTCAACCCAAAACACTCAAAGCATTAAGTCTAGGATTATTGTAGTCGATCTTATAAGTAACCTTTAATAAGAGGCTAGAGATTGTTCGCGAGGAAAAAATTAGCACATCTGGTGGGACCTGTTGTGTTTGAGTCTTCTCGTTTTATGCATGAAATTGAGAAGTGGTAGAAATATTATAGATCCTAGAACTCCTGAAAGGGATCAAACTTTGGGAGGAAATACCAGCACAACGGCGAGTGTGGGTTCTAGTTATGTGGTCATGTCTTCGATTGCACCGAACATAATTATCACAACACAACCAGTAACTGTAAGACCACTAATGGCCACAACTTTTGGGCAGTATGTGCTTAGTTTTGCAAGAGAGACACACGGTGGTGTGATCCCAACTTCTGGGCAGTACTGCCTAGTTTTGCAAGAGATAGGCATGAATACGGAATGCCAATAGTGGTGATGGCAGGACTACATAACAGTAGTCCAACATTTGGTGAAAATTTTGCGTCAGCATTTTCCCCATATCATGCTTCAGGGCCGTTGGGAAATCAATTTGGTCATTCGACTGGATTGATATTTTCTCACCAAGTCATGCCTACTTTCACCCCAAGTACTGTTGATATCATAAGGCAACAGATGGATGAAAGTAATCATGAGATGGTAAATATGTTTACTTAACAGATGAGTCTCATATTAAGACATTTGATCGAGAATTCAATGTAGAGTTATCAAACTTTAGCAACTCAAATGACTTATATCGGGGATTTCCTTGGTGCCCCAAGAGCGTCGGTTCGACAAGTTGCGCCTCCCCCACGTGAGGAACCAGTGCAATACAAGGAGGTGGTCGATGAAACAGTCGAACAAGAACCACTGACTCCCCAGTGTGTCGATCTTATACTTAGGGTAGTACAACAACCCTAGTAGTAATAGTAAATTGAAACCAAAATGCTGACCAAATGGTCAGGCAGGTTCAATGAGAAGCAGTGGCTGGTGTTGTACCCCAATTTTTGCCCCTAAGATCCCTTCATCATACCATGTTAATTCAATCACAACAAGATCATATTATGGCTTTTGGTTCTTCTCCCTATCTTTAGCTTTGCTCTTTGAGGAATCCCTAAGCACCTTGACTTGTTTTCTTTTGTGATCGTGAATATTTTGTCTTGATTTTCTTTCTAATTAATAAAATGCAATGTTGGTTTGTCTTACTTGTTAATAATGTAGGTAAAGGCAATAAGGTTTAGCAAGTTGCTACATGGGTTCATGAGTTTATTTCCATGCCCTAGTCAATAAAGCTTGAGAAATTCAAACCTCACCATTGAAGTTGTTTTGAAAGAAATGGCATGGCAAAGTTTATTTTGGTTCACAACATTTCAAAGTTATCAAATTGATCCAAAAGTACAAGGGGTTGATGGAAGAAGTTACCATGATTGGACAAGGTCTTGCTCCCATTGGTCACAAGTGCATATTTCTCTCAATTTTCAAGATATGGAAGTGGTTTTGGTTGCTATGAGTTCTCATTATCATCCTCAACAACTTCTATTTACAAAGCAAGAGTGTTGGTACAAGAAGGTTGTTCAAAATTGTCAAAGTTCCTCAAAGCATTTTCTTGATCTATGAGCTAGGGTTTTGAACTTCAAAGAAGTATATCTTGCTCATCTTTTGGTATTTTTGAGTTATTCCAAAAACTTCCTTCTCTTCAAATGGTTATTAACAAATCACTTCAAAAGTTTTAAGGATTTTTCATGTGGAAGAATCTTGATGATGAAGAAAGATTACAAGTCCTCTAGATGAACCCCCAATTTCCCATGTGTGACTTCAAATGATCATAACTTGGTCAATCTTATCACCTTGAGCCAACTCTTTTTCCACAATGATCATGAGAATGTGAACTTTATTCCTTCTTTTATATTCAAAGTGATAAAATGGATGGAAGATGCCCTAAGGATACAAAAGATTATAAGTCATTTCATGATTTTTTTTCCAACTTCAACAATTCATAACTCTCTCAATTTTTGGAGATTTTGAATGTTTCAAGTCTCAAAATGTCATTTAATAGGTCTATTTCATGCCATCTTTTTTGGTCAAGAGCAAATTCCAAGAGGAAGGCAATTTTTGGATGCAAAACATTATAGGTCACTTTTGGGAAAAAATTGAAATATTTCTAAGTATGGAAAGTCAACTTTTCCCTCCAACTTTGACTCAATGCAACTTTCAGCTCAAGCATCCATTTGATTCCATTCTTTTTCCATTGTAAAGCTTGTAAATCCGTCTTTCTAAAGCATCAAGAATCATGCCCTAAGACCTCTTGAGTTGAAAATGCCATTATTTTGAAATTGGTAACTTGGAACTGAATTTCTCACCAAGTAAGAATTTTGAAATCCATAATGTGGCCTCTAATCACAAGATTTATGCGTGTTTTTTATTTAAACTTGATTAACAAACTTGCCAGAAGTGTTTAGCACCTCAAAACGCAAAGATTGGATGAGTTTTGGTGAAAATGAGATCACACTTCACTCGTGCATCAGGTTCACATGAATTCCCTCCAAAATTCATCATTCCCTATTCCTTTTGATCCCATTTGCTTCTCCTATAAATACATGAGCTATCCCATTCATTTTCTTAAGCTTGGATAGCCAGAATCACCCTTCCAAACTTGCTTCATAACTCAATTTTCTGTAACTTCAAAATCAGTGTTCAAGCCTTTTTCAATCTAATTTTTCTATCAATTCACCTTCCATGATCTTCCATGAAGCTAACCATACAATTACCTTCAAGAATCGTACCTTATATTGCTCCATAGAAGTCTAGTTTCAGAGCTCTGCAACTCAACTTCAATAGGTAAATCTCTTCATTAATTCTTCAAAACTTTGATATCATTGTGAAGCTTTCATTGCCTTGGTTCTAGTCGCAACACTTGCTTTTATATGTGTTGTACCCCAAAATTTGCCCTCTCATTTTATCAAGATTTCTCTCACAAGACTTCTTGGACTCAAGACAAGATTAGGATTTGGTCAGCTCAAGGCATCACCTTGCACTGATAACCTGAAATTAGGGTTTGAGTTTGCACAAGGATTTTTGGATCACCAATGCTTCATGTTACTTTCATACACCATCTTGGACCCCTAGGATTGCTCATGTTAAGTTTCAAGCCTTGAATCACATTTTTGCCCAGTCAATTGGACAGTTGACCTAAAAGTCAGTTGTATTGGGGGAAAAGTCAACCATGGCCAATTTACAGTCAAACTTCATAATTTTTTTATCCACAACAACATTTTAGACTCCTATGTACCATTTGATCAAGTTTGGATCACAACTCCTCAAGAAATTTGATCAAATCATC